CCGGGTCTAGATCACTCCTTTTGCTTCTTTTGAGCCTCTAATGAACCCCAAATGTCTCCAAAGCTTCCATGTGAAACTCCAATACCTAAAGGGGACTCATGTATGCAAAATGCAACCTAAACATGGCTAGAACCTAACCTACATGATGAAAAGGTATGCAAAAGAGTAGATAAAACAATGCAATAATGCAAGACATCACTTCCCATTATCTCTTACTACTTACTAGGGTGTAGTCCGTGTTTCGCGCGAGTTATGTTTCATAAAATATTTCTAATGACATTTAATTTCGGGGGAAACTTTATTATATATGCTTTTTATCATTTTTGAATTATAAGAAACTAAAAAAAAAAACTAAAAAAACATTTTTCTATCAAAATCAATAAAATATAATAATAATTTTTCTTTCCCATTTTTCTATTTTTTTTTTGATTTTCTTTATTTCATTCTTATTACTATTTAATGATCACCAATTTGAATATAGATATTATATCATATAAAGAATATACATTTTTCTAAGACCAAATATTCATATAAGGAAGATGTAAATAGTTTACTTTTTTTGGAAGTTTAGTTTTAGTGGTTGATTAAACGTTTTGTTTGGTAAATTATTTGTCACTAATTGCTTTCGTTAGACTAATGCATATTAACCTTTTCATGATTATTTTATTCTATTTAAGAAGTAATTTGTTTGATTTAAGTATAGCTATCTAATGTCATATGATCTATTATGTGGTTTTTCTCAGTTTATATTTAAAAATTAAAAATATTAACTTTAATTTTATTTGTTATAATTTAGTGTTGCTATTTCTTACACAATTTATAAAATCATAAAAATTACTAAGAGTATTACACTGTAAATTTATTCTCAATTTAAACTATTATATATTATTATTTTTATTAGAGATTATAAGTACCGAATCAATTTTGTCTCACCTTTAAAAATAGTTCATTCAAATGTAACTGTTTTACTGTTTTCTCAAAATTTATTCTATTTTGAATATATAGTAATTAAAATAAAGTTTATGGTGAATCATCTGAAATATATACGCGTTAAGAAGAGATATATATATATATATATGTGTGTGTAGGGTAATACATTGGGGGGCGATTCACAACATGGCTATGTATTGTTAGGACAAACTCTGTTGAACTATTGTAATCAAAATTCATATTTGCGTGTTGAGTTCATGGTTTCATTATAATCGTGACGATGTTATCCCTTATCTTTCGTATATCATTGTCATTCACTATTACTAGTAGCGGTTTGAGCAAACCGTACTCCTAGCTTTATTCTCCAAGGCTTAATTACTTATATATTTTGCTTTTCAAATTTATTTTCGTTGTTTACATATTTCGAGATTCTTTATTTTGATTACTTAATTAAATAGATCAAAAACTGTAAAAGAAGATGAATAGATAATTTCAATACAAATTAAGTAATCAATTCCTAAAAGTAAAAGAAATAATAAAATAATTATTTAGAAGATGACACATAACATATTTTGCTACTCTTTTTAAGTAATATGGCTCTCTCTCTCTGAAGAGAGTCTTTATATATATAGACCATATACACACATTTAGTTTTCTTCGTGATATATATGATTCATAATCATCCATTTAAAAATAGAAGTTCCAGAGCTCCTTCGCTTCTAAGTTTCTTACTAAACTTCTATTCGTTAAAAAGAACTTCTCTTAGTTTCTGAATACTCTGGGAGGTCGATTAATGAAACCATAAGTTTTCTAAATGAAACAGGAGGCAGAAGTATTAGGCTTGACGATAGAGGTTGACGTTAGAATAAGCCATATTTTCTTAGAAGTTATTTATATATGGATTAAGAGTAAAGCAATCGTTTGTTTTTACATTTATTCTTGATCATCATCACTCTATGCAGTCATAAAATATAGTTATCTAGGGAAAATATATTTTAATCAAATAAACAAGCTGATGATATATTATATAAATGCCTCAAAGATGAGGATAAGGATGAAGGATCTTCCCATCAAATTTTTTAACTTGTCTTTGGAGCTTTTACGAACTTTCCAGTTTCTACTATTTATTCGTCACTTTTTATCCAACTACTTTTTTGGAAGTCGGCCGAATCCATAATTGGTTTAGTAGGTGTAAAAACCGATCGGAATATTAGTTTAGTTGCTCTATAAATAGATAAACAGATTTAGACCAACTAATCAGTGAGTTACTATCTAAGTGGGAAGAATAAAAAATTAAATGGGAAGATCCATATCCTCATCTTTGAGCATTTATACCGACTAATCAAGTTAATAACAGACTTAGACCGACTAATCAAGTCAGTAATCGGTTTTAAGAAAGCAAACGACTGATAAGTCTGATATCATGTGATCAGTTTGGAAGAAAAAATGGTTTTAACTATATACGTCAAATTGGTTTGTTTACCAATCGGGTAGCTTATCCTAAATCAAATAGATTGCATAAGTGGTTTAGAATCTAAAAAAGATATTTGTCAAATCAAATATATATGTTTTCAACCATCACAAGTTTTTGGAACTTTTGCTTTCTTATTTGTGCCGTGACAAATTTGGATTATGGATTAGGAGAGACAACTCGTTGCTTTTGCAAAAGCAAAGTCGGTCGTATTAACGTGACACTAGTAATGTATAGCAAAAGGCCAGAGGCCTATCAATGGCATAGTGACAGATTCGTGTTGTAGTAATAAATAAGTAAATTTACGAGGTTCTCATTTTGCCACGTACTATATAAGTTATATAATCCGCTTTGATAACCTCTGCTATTTTCTGCTTTATTTATAGGGTGAATTGGCTGAAAATACAAGAAGAATATAGTAATTAGGAAAATATCTAAATATTGTGGGGAAATAGTGATGATGGAGGGAAAAAATTGGGGGGGGGGGAAAATTAGGTATGAAGTGCAAATATGGTAAATGTTGTAGGTATTGAATACAAATATTCTTATTTATATAATTTTCTTGCGATAAAAGATATTTTTTTGAAAAACTAAAAGGATTAAATTTGGATCTATGAAAAATACAAACCTTCCTTCGGAGTTCGGATGGAAATACAGTTTTTGGATTAATTTTCTCGTAGATATTCAAATGGGTCGAAAACAATAACCTACATCCATGTGATCAATAAAATTTAAACCAGGTTCACCGTATTAGGTTTATCGCGCCAGTCATCACCACTGATTATAAAGGATTTAGTTTGCTTTATCTATTTTATCCAAACAGTATTTGGAACATTATGGTAACTGTAAATTGCAAATGCGACGACTATTTTTGTTGAGCAATAGCCGACTAGTGACTACTATATAGTAATAGTGATAGGAGGACAAGCTTTTCAGGAGATAGTAGATACTTTCTTTGTCGGGTTCATGCAAATAACTATTTTAGTTCTTGCGGATATGGACAAATATGCAACCTTAAGAAAATAATTTACCGGATATATATGTTATGAGGGTTATAGTGCATATTTGATCTAGACAATTTTCACTGATCACACATTTTGTTATAGAAAATATGATACATAATGATTTACACAACCGCCTAACCGCAAGTTTAGTATAATTGATGGGAAACAGATCAAAAGAATGTAAGGATTTTTTTTTTTTGGTAAAAAAGAATGTATGAATTGATAGTTGAACTTTCTTTTTGTTAGAAAAAGATAGTTGAAGTTGATACAGAAAACATGATACAATCACCAACTTATAGACCAAAGTATATATATAGTGCTTCACTCGTGTGAGGGCATTTTGGGATTGTGCTATCGGTTATAATTATGTTGAATGCAAGAAAAAGAAAGGCCAAAGAGTGTAGTGTACACACGAATGGTCATGTTTCTCACGTGCCTAATTAAACTCTCACACTAAAAATATCTCAGAAAGAAAGAGATCCACGTTATGACAAAAAGGCAGAACGTAAGAAAGGATTGTAATAGAAGAAGAGAGAGGTAAGATAACCAATTATAGTATTTGTCTATAAAAACAATTATTCGTTTTAATCTCAAATGAATCAGTAACAAACTTAGAGGAAAGGTTTAGACTTTGACAATGGAGGATGCAGGGGAGAAAATTAGAGAGATAGCAAAGGAACACAGTTCAAGGTTTAAGAGCATTTGCGTCTTTTGTGGGAGTAGCAATGGAAAGAAAGCTAGTTATCAAGATGCAGCCATTGATTTAGGCAAAGAATTGGTAAAATAGTAATGCCTACAATGTTTTTTCTCGTATCTATTTTATTCTTTCTTTCTTTCAGTTTTTCACCGACGAGATCTCTATATATTTTTGAAGAAATTATTTCACTTTTATAACGAAAATGTTTATAATTGTAATTTCCATCACATTCATCTGGTTCTTTGCCTTTATAGCAAGCATCAAGAATAGCATGAGGGTTTAAAAAGAAGAAGCTTGGTAGTTGGGTTAAAATTAGTGTTTAGTAAAAGAGTTTATACGTCAATTATGTTTTTAAAATAGGAAAAAGACAAAGTTTATGTTTTCGAAACTTTGATTGTCAGGTGGCGAAGAGCATTGATCTTGTTTATGGTGGAGGGAGCATAGGTTTGATGGGTTTGGTCTCTCAAGCTGTTCATGATGGTGGTCGTCATGTTATTGGGTAGTTAATAAACTGCATTATAATTACATCACTGGTTTTTTTTCTTACCGATTGATGAAATAAACGTATGGTTTTTAATCCTATGATGTAGAGTCATCCCAAAGCTCCTCATGTTGCAAGAGGTACGTATTAACTGACTTATTTATGAGAAAATGGGAGGAGTAATGATAGTTAATGGTGGTGATAATAACTGCTCTTTGTCTACTTATTTCTAAAAAAAAAAAGATTACTGGAGAGACAATAGGAGAAGTGAGGGAAGTTGCAGATATGCATCAGAGAAAAGCTGAGATGGCTAAGCATTCTGATGCTTTCATTGCTTTGCCTGGTAAATATTATCTCCCTAAGCTCTTTTTTAATTACAATTAATATCATTTATGAAAACATTTTTGATAATTCATTTTGTGAAACCTTGCCACTAAACTTTGAGTTACAATGTATGATTCTGAAATGTTCATAACAAGACATCCATTTTGCCTTTAAGGATTCGGACAAACATGTTTACACATGTACTAACTAAGATACAATATGATATGTAATTTCAATCATTGTTATTATTGATAATTTTGATGATGATCTATAAGTATATTCCAAAAGTTAGTTTGAATTTAGGTTCAGAGTTCTTTAATTATAGATTAAATAAACATACGTGATTGCTTGACCAAAACAAAACATACGTGATTGTTAGCGTTCACTGAATTTCTTGAAAGTTAAGTAGTTAGATGTTTGGTGTTTTGTTTTTTCCCTGACATTTATGTATTCAGTTCTTTAGTATTGCTTTTGTCTTTATACATTACACTTTTCTTTAAGAAGTGCGTTTAATGATATGTAACATGTGGTTGATATGATATGCGAAAGATCCCAGGAGTCAAATAATTAAAAGAAGCATGATAAATAGTTCCAAAGTAAAGTGAATTTTCTTTTTCATCCATCAATATCCAAAAGCAGTGAAAACTTATATGTCGACGACAAGGACACCTCTTTCTTATCCAATTTGAGATATTTCAGTGTTGTCAAATTGTATCTAAATATTTAGATTTTAGGACAGAAATTACAGATTCATATTGTTATCGTTTACATTAATCTGTATTTTTGGGGGTTGCCACATAAAGTTAGGAGAGCGAATATTTGGAGAGGGACAAACTGATAATTATGAGCAATTTGTAGTGATCATCACTAGTGCACTAACATTTGACCTTTGACTTTAAAAGTACCAAAGAGAAGAAGAGAAGGGACACATCATAATTCAGATGTTGACTTTTTCTTAGAGGTCAAAAACTAAAGTGAAAAAAATTATTATACCAAAATTTTAACATTCGCAGCACTTTACCAATTAAAGCGAGTTCTCACTGTGTCATCAGGTGGCTATGGTACACTAGAGGAGCTACTTGAAGTGATAACTTGGGCACAACTTGGAATCCATGATAAACCGGTATTAAAACCGGGATAGTTAGATATATATGTAAAAAAAAAAACAAATACTAATATTAACTGATTCGTTGATAGTAATTGAGATTATTTTTTCCTGGCAGGTTGGTTTATTAAATGTTGATGGATATTACAATGCTTTGCTATCATTCATCGACAAAGCGGTCGAAGAAGGCTTTATTCTTCCAGCCGCTCGACATATCATCGTATCTGCGCCAACCGCAAAAGAGTTGTTTGGGAAATTAGAGGTGAACCCGATAGAGGTTACATTTAACCTTAAGCAGAACAATATTTTTGGTTTAATATGGTAGTTAAGCCACTAATAGAATATGCCTGTTCAAGATCGGTTTAAGAATATTAGAATACTGATCAAGTTGATTGGTTTATTGCAGGAATACGTGCCTCAACACAACAAGTAGACACATCAAATTTGAGTTCCGAGACTATTCATATATATTGAAACGTCTTTTGACCAAAAAAAGAAAAGAAATATATATATATATATATATATATATATATATATATATATTGAAACGTCTTAAAAAAAAATCGATATTTTCCGATGTCCTACGATTGATTATTTCTTATAACATTAAAGTTGTGATTGAATTAGAGAGCATAAAATGTAAATATGATTTCGGAATTTTATCACGCATCATGCTTCCTTTTTTTTGCTTGCTTAAAACCTCATGCTTTGTAATATACTACTATAACATCAAGCGTAAAATGTTTGTTGTGTTATGTAAAATGATAAGACAAAACATTCCATGTAGTAATTAAACACTTCTGAGTATGTAGATCAATCGATTAGTTTAATTTACCTACAAAATAGAATAGAGCAACCCCTTTCTCATACCAATCTTTAGTGTTTAAATACAAACATAGCACCCAGCTTCCAAAGAAAATTCAACACTTCCTGTGGCGGGCTATTAACAATGCTCTCCCAATTACGGATCTGGAATGGATGTTGAGCAGTTTTGTAAAGCTTGTGGAGAGTTAGAAACAATCAGTCATGTCTTCTTTTCTTGCCTTTTGCCCAATGAGTTTGGGATTTGGCCCCGATTCACTTTGTTACCATTCAAGAGTTACCTCCAAATTCTCTACACCAACTGCTCACTTTGATCCCCAAAAACCTCAATCTCCCCCCTTCGGGTCTAACCTGTTCTCCGATGTCCCCTTGGATCCTATGGAACCTGTGGACAGCAAGGGACAAACATATATTCGAGGATAAAATCTATACATCAGAAGAAACTATCTCTAAGGCTGTTAGAGATGGAAAAGAGTGGGAGTCAGCAAAAGAGAAACCTATTTTGATTGAACCTCCTAGACAAGTATCCTCGAGGGATGCTATCTCCATGTTGCCGACGTGCTCGGTATATGGGGCCTGGAACGCAGCTAACAAATATGCTGGTTTTGGTTAGTTTTTTCAGGATAAGCATGCCAATTTGGAGATAAAAGGAGCTGCAGCTCGTGATTTTGTGGGATCTGCACTAATTGCCGAAGCTCTGGCCGTCCGTGAAGCATTAAAGGTTGCAATCACCAATGGCCTCAACCACATCAAGATTCAATCGGACTCAACTGTCCTAATCTCTGCCCTGCGATCAGGGACGGTTCCGAATGAGATAGCGGGACTTCTCCATGAAATTAGTCACCTCATTCCTCTCTTCTCAACCTTATCTTTTGATGTAATTCCCCGTTCAGCAAACTTTGTAGCTGATGCTTTAGCGAAGAACGCTCTTGCGGGTTTATGCCTGCAAAACTCTATTTAAATTATTAATGAAGTAAGTTGTTGACCAAAAAATAAAATAAATACATAGCACAATATTCATATGTCTTCTTGAATCGATCTAATTCTTATTGTCTCCACAACATCAGTGACACTTCTTGATCTAATCAAAGACGTTGAAATGTCGATCTCTTATAGGAAAGGCCGGACCGGTACCGTACAACTGCTGGAGACGTGACTTTCCCAAAGGGGAAAAGAGAATTTGGCTTCAGTATTGAAGCGGTACAAAAGTCGGTTATCGAGTAAATCGATAGGTATGAATCAAGATGGACCCGGTTCGACAAAGAACATGAATGCAGCGTCTGTGTACTGATCACTGAGTTGAAGAGCAACACGCGAGTCTCATGATGGTCAAAAGATGACGTATAAGAAACAAACTTTTGCCTTTGATTGCTCCTCTGCTTCGTTACTGACTTACTGTGTAATGGATTTCTGTTGCTTCAGAATCTTTTGGGGGTTCTCTTGTTAATTTGGTTGCAATGTTATATATATTTATACATATCATATAGGCCATAGCTACAAACCAAATCCGGTTTGTGTAATTTGATGCGGAATCATAAACTAGTTCTTTGGTTTCAACAATCTATACTATTAAAAGTGAAGGCACCCTTGAAAAATAGACTGATCGAAGTTGTGTGCACCTTTCATTAATGGCATTTTGGTAATTTATTTTCGTCTTACATCTATATCTATATCGAATGTTACAAATCATATCACATTAACCATAGATCCGGTTTATTCTCTCTCTTCCCATTAATTACTCTAACCATATTTCATTTTATGTTTCATACATTTATTTTACCCGGGTTATACCAATATGATTTGTATGATATTATATGATTTGTAACATTTGATATCATATTGATTTGTAACAGTCGATATAGCAGCCATTGTCCTTTCGGTATATGTGATATGATTTGTATGATATGATATTATTTTCTACATTTGATATCATATGATTTGTAACATTTGGTTACTACACTACAGATTACATAATTCAAATATATCAAACCCATTTTAGTAGTATAGATATGGCCACATTAATTAAATACAATATAACCTCTATAAATTAATACTCGATAAATTAATATAGATTAAATATATCTATAAAATAATATAATTTTCTAGTCCCAAATTGAGTTTTTGATTCGATTAGTATATGGATAAATTAATATCTCTTTAAATTAATAAAAAAATAAAATTTTGGTGTAGCCCCAACATTATTAATTTATAGAGGTTTCACTGTATGTGATATGATGAGTCATATCAAATATAAAACATTGCCATTTTGGTATATGCATAAATATACTAATATGATTTGTATGATATGATATGATTTCTAACATTTGATATCATACTAATATTCAACATTCGATATAGCAGCTATTTTTCTTTCAGTATATGTGATATGATTTGTATGATATAGTAGTATATATATATTAAAGTAATTAAATATGTGATATACATCAAAATAATTAAATATATGATATGATTTGTAACATTCGATATAGCAGACATTCTCCTTTTGGTATATGTATAAATATGTGATATGATTTGTATGATATTATATCATTTGTAACATTTGATATCATATGATTTGTGAAAATAATGGTTATTACACTATATATTAGATAATTCAAATATATATCAAACCCATTTATGAGTGACATTTATGAGTGACATTTAAGAACGAGATATGTTTTTGTAAGAAAATATTGCAAATACTAAAATGAATAAATTTCTTCATCTACAAGTTTATAGATTATGGAAATAGTAATAATATCGTGGTTAGTTATTTTTGGTGGATTCCATACATTGCTATAATTGGATTAGTATTAACTGTTACACTTCCTATCTAATTCAAAATATATTCCATAAATATTCCTTATTCCTTGAATGAGATATTTTAAAATATCATAAAAAATATTTTTCCCTACATTTTCGTAACCTAAAGGTTATCGTCCCTATCTATTATAAATATAGTCTCTCTTAACCAATATATTTATCATTCATTCAAAAACCTAAATCTTCCCTATGGAGACTAATTTGTAGTTGTCGTTCTTGAGCGATATCAAATCGAGAAAAAATACATGTCGCATCCAAGTCAAGATCCTTCATACATGGAGACATTTCATGAAAGACATAGGCGAGACCATGGAACTGATCCTTTGTGATGCAAATGTAAGTTTATTGTTTTCCATATATTTATCGATATACATATTCATTTCATTTCGTAAAGGTTTATACTAAATTAAGATGTTTTATTTATTTTTATAGGGAACTAAGATTCATGCCTCGTGTAACAAGACATACATTCCTCAATTGGCAAAACATATTCGTGCAGAAGTATGGAGGAACATTGATCGGTTCAGTGTGTCTGCTGCTGGTGGAGCATACAAATCAACTCAACATAAGTAGCGCATAGCTTTTAATGACACCACCAAAATCACCAAATCTACACACCGTGATGATAACATGTTTCTTGATCTGGTTGATTTCAAAACCATTGAAAGTATCACAGATACAAACTTCAGTAATGGCATTTTGGTAATTTTTTTTTTGGTCTTACATCTATATATATATATCAATTGTTACAAATCATATCACATATTAAATATACCCAATTTATTATCTCTCTAAATATTTTTTAAAATCGTCTAAATATTTTGCCCTACATTTGCGTAACCTAAATGTATATTGTCCTTACCTATTATAAATATATCCTCTCTTACCACTATATTCATCATTCCTTGAAAAACCTAAAACAAAAATGGCGAATAATTTGCAGTTGTCTTTCTCGAGCGATATAAAACCAAGAAGACTGCATGTCGCATCCAAGTCAAAATCCTTCATAGATGGAGACATTTCATGAAAGACATAGAGGAGACCATGGAACTAACCCTTTGTGAAGCAAATGTAAGTTTATGGTTTTATATAGATTTATGATTTAGATATCTTCATTTCGTAAAAGTTTAACCTAAAATGATAATGTTATTTTTTGTTTATATAGGGAACTAAGATCCATGCCTCATGAGACATACATTCCTGAATTGGCAAAACATATTCGTGTTGGAGTTCGTGGACATTTCGTAAGTTTTATATATTTATTATAAAAGATATAAGCCTATAAACATATTGATTTATAACTTGATATGCAATTCTATTAGTGGCCACAGATAAGTTTGCTGTCTTTGGGTAAATTTGCTGAGAATCTTCATACAGCTAACCAAGAAACAGAAGGCATGGTGATATGGCTTTACGATTTGCTAAGATTAAGCAATATAGAGGCATTCCTTGAAAATAAAAACTTATTTTTTGATTTTGTACTAAATGACCATTGTTTATAGTTGGAAATATGCTTCTACTACCTCAATTTTTTGATCATTCCTTCATTTTTATGTTTTATGTCAGAAGAAATTACTCAAATACTTATGATTTATTTTTGGTTATAGGTGAGGTCCAAATCTCAAATGCTTATGATGTAATTAGGAGTGGGAATCTGAGTCATCACCCGCGAGTCCCTCCCCGTTTAACCCCCTGCAGGCGGGTGCGGGTTTAACAATTTGAAAAAATTGATTGGCTGGTGAGGGTTATGAGTATTTTATGCAGGGTGGGTGCGGTTTGGTGGATTTTGAATCGCGGGTACTCACTAACCCACAATTTTTTTTTTCTTTTCAATAGTATTGATTTTTAAAATTTACTATGGGCCATGAACCCATCTAATTTTGGTTTCAATTTAATATGTATTTTAATTCTTTATACTCTCACAACATATAATTTTCTGATTCTCGGTTCAACCAAAAACTGACTCGGTTATGTAAAACTGAATGAAAATACCATACTAAAAAGTTAAATATACATTAAATTTCATATATAAAACTATCATATAATAGAAATCGAATTGTATGATACATTTTGTTACAACCAAAACAAAACCCGCGCTTCTCAGACGCGGATCAAAATCTCGTTAGAATCTTATGATGCTAAGGTTGTGTTGTATAGGATGGTGTACATTCGCTCGAACAAAATATCTTTGTACAATAAGAAGTCACTTGTTATTGCGTGTACAACATGAAGTCATGAACGCGTTTTATGACTACTACCTCCTTATTGGGCTGATATAGAAACAAAAATAATTATTTTTACTGGGCCTTAGTTTTCAAGAAGACACGTCGTTCCGTTTTGGCATATATACTGCATGCCGTTTTTACATGTGCCCTTAAAATATCGATACTACGCGGCGTTTTAACTGAAGAATCAGTAATCGCTGTCTTTGCAAACTTTTCACCCAACGGAGAAAATATCTTAGCTTCGAATAGTTTCGTCCCTTGTGGTGCGTTGAAGAGATGACCATGGCAACAACCATCGCGAAACGCCTCATCAGAAACCGATCGAGCCAGATCCTCGGAACTCTAAACTCCACCTCACCCGCGTCCAGGACCTTCTGCTCGTCCACCACTCCAATCACCGCAACCATGTTCCCCGGAGACGGGATCGGTCCCGAGATCGCCGAATCCGTCAAACAGGTTTTTGCTAATAATCATTGGATTCAACAGCATACGATAATCCTTAGATTTGGGGGGAATTTTGATAGTGATTTGTGGTGATGCAGGTGTTCACAACGGCCGGTGTGCCGATTAACTGGGAAGAACACTATGTGAGCACAGAGATAGATCCGAGAACGCAGAGTTTCTTGACCTGGGAGAGTCTCGAATCCGTGCGTAGAAACAAAGTTGGTTTGAAAGGTCCAATGGCTACTCCAATCGGGAAAGGTCACCGTTCTTTGAATCTGACTCTTAGGAAAGAGCTTAATCTATACGCCAATGTTAGGCCTTGTTACAGTCTTCCTGGTTACAAGACTCGTTATGATGATGTTAATCTGATTACGATTAGGGAGAATACTGAAGGAGAGTACAGTGGGCTTGAACATCAGGTTTTTTAAGTTTTTTTGAGTAGTTTTGGTTGTTTTTTTTTGTTATGAAGAGGTTTCTCATTTTTGGAGTTGTGTTGTTATATAGGTTGTTAGAGGTGTGGTGGAGAGTCTTAAGATTATTACGCGTCAGGCGAGTTTGAGAGTTGCGGAGTATGCTTTTCACTATGCTAAGACTCATGGAAGAGAGAGGGTTTCTGCTATTCACAAAGCCAACATTATGCAGAAAACTGATGGTCTTTTCCTCAAGGTCTGCACCATTTCATAACCCTTAGAATAAATTTGAATATCTTCTTATAGTCTCTGCCTAGTCTTCTTTAGCAACGTTTCATTTCTCTTGCAGTGTTGTCGTGAGGTTGCTGAGAAGTATCCTGAGATTACTTATGAAGAGGTTGTTATTGACAACTGTTGTATGATGGTAAGCTACGACTCCAAATATACCTTTTTTTTTCTTTTTGTTGAGTTATTAGGTTAGTAATTCAATTAGCATTGCAGATTTTGGAAGCTATATTTCCCAATTACTTTACTTTGTTTTAGCCATTAATTTTATTTGTGGAACAAGTCCATTCTTACTCAGGTTATATGTTTTATGAAATATATGTGACTAAGAGCCTTGAGATGCCTTTGCAGCTTGTGAAAAACCCAGCACTGTTTGATGTATTGGTGATGCCAAACCTGTACGGTGACATTATCAGTGACCTGTGTGCCGGATTGGTGGGAGGACTAGGATTGACTCCAAGGTGAGACACAGTTTCCTTACTTCTTAGTTTATTGTTGTGTATTATGAATATGAGCTAACTATAGTACGGCCTTACTATCTTTTGCGCAGTTGTAACATCGGGGAAGATGGTGTAGCCCTTGCTGAAGCTGTACACGGTTCTGCACCTGATATCGCTGGAAAGGTTATTCCTTACTCCTTAAAAATTTGATCTGAAAGTTTTCATAGGAAGCTGCTATGGATAGAATGTTACATAAACATTTGTTTGAGTATTTTTTCTGCTTTATCTTGGTAGCTAGCATAGTCAGATGTGTAGTCTCGTGATTGGTGGTTAATCTATGGATGGAGTGTTGAAAGATTAGAAGATGATTTTGAAAGGCCTTGGTATACGTTTTAATGTTTTGGGGGGTAAATGATGTTACAGAACTTGGCGAACCCAACAGCATTGCTACTGAGTGGAGTGATGATGTTACGTCACCTAAAGCTGAACGAACAAGCAGAACAGATCCACAGCGCAATCATCAACACGATAGCGGAGGGAAAATACAGAACGGCGGATCTTGGAGGTACTTCGACCACCACTGAATTCACAAAGGCAATCTGTGATCATCTCTGAACATCTTAAACTCTCAATTCTTTATCGAATCTTCGTTCGAGGCTTAAAGCCAATATTTATAAGCCTCTGAGATTATTCTTGTTTCCCTCGTTTTACGATTTGAATAAAAAAAACAGGCATTGGCTTTTGAAGTTACCTTTCTTTCTTACTGCCTCCAAAAAACGTCTTTATAAATTGTATTTCTGCCGCAAGGAAGATGCATAGCACAGGAACAGCTGTGTTTTATCTGTAATCAACCAGAAGAGTTTTGTTTTGTTGCTTTAATATTTTACAAACTTGTCTTTGTTCTTCACATTAAACACAATGGCGTAATTATTTTACCAAACTAACTACATCAGTATTTTTAATGCTATGTATTGGCAAAAAGTTTTAGGTATGTTATAAGAGAGGATAGATAGAAAATATCAAATGAGGTTATCCTACTCAGAGAAACACAAACTTGATACGATGCGTGTGTTCTAATATGAGATTGGAAAAAGAGCTTCTGCTTCCTCATCAAATGACTGTAGCTTTACACCATCTGCAATGGAAACTCGCCATATGAAATCTGAATATTAAAGGATGAATTGCTAAAACTATGAGCTCGAAACCTCCAAAATTCTTAGTTCTTCTTTTATCCACATTAGCAGCTTGAAAAGAACTAAGTTTTTTGGAGATCTTACTCCAAGAAATCAATCCCATCACTTCTTACTGTCGCAGCAAAAGAGATGATCAGCAGAGCAAGAACACTGAAACGCCTAATCCAATATAGGACAAAGACCATCAAGGAGATAGAAATAAATGATAATACTGTCGCTCCAAAAGGAACCGGCAACTCCCAAAGACTACAACATAAAGGAGGTGGAGAGCATTCCCAAGCCAATGAGTCAAAAGCACCAGCTTGAACTTGACTGGAAAAAAAGATAAGATGATCTCTTGCTTAACCCTCATCCAAGGTAATTAAAGACCCTGCGAAGCTACAAGTTCAATGCATCCATCCTACACCAACTAATGGAAATATCAACCTTTGAAACCCAAACACGGAAGGGAGCAAGACACTTCAACGAAACCGTCTAAACCAAATCACAACAGAACCAGAACCAGGAAACAAACCACAACCACTTCATACACAAACCAAAAAGAAGAGAAACGGTGGGAAGAAACACAACCAGAGTCACAAATGAGACAACTTTCTTCCAAAAGTTTCATAATGAAACACACCCAATCAGGAATCTGAGCATACCAAGAAAGGCACAGCAGTACTAAAGTATTGCCACACCAAGTGCCTAAGACCCAACACAGCATGCGAACACCGATGAGAAGCCAGAAACAGAACCGACAAAAAACAGCACAAACCTGTATATCTCTGCCGGGTCTGAGAAACCATAACAGAGACAAACAAAAACTGAAGTCCTATCAGATCTGCTGCCTCCCAAACCACCAGCGTTAATAGAGAGGCACCATCCGCCCGCCAAAAATTAAGATATCGAAAAAGAATGAGTTCACGAAATGAAGAAAAAGTGCGAAAGAGATCCGTAAGAGCAAAAGAGAGAGCAAGGGAGCCCTCTCCGGCGCCGGCTAAAAGCCTTAGACACCGGAGAGGCGTCGACCTACAGTCTCAAAGGTTGACGGCGCAGAGAGAGTTGAGAGAAAATTAGAGCTTTTTAACCAACTGCATCAGTATAAGTTAGAAGCTAGAAACTTAAAGCGATAAAATAAGGGCAAGACTGAAGACATCATCAAGCTCTGTTTCGATGTTGACAAACAAACTTAGTTTCAACTAATAAGCCCAAATACGCATCATAAAACATTAGCCGGGACTTTGATTCTTGCAATATAAGATCCAAACATTCTAAGAAAGCATATCCAGAAAGCTTTTCTTCATTCTACCATCCAATAACATATCCATAACCATCTTAACAGTAGAAGCATCGCCAGAGAACCCACAACTCTTCATTTCTTCAATAAGTTTAGCTGATGTGGCTAAGTCACCACCTCGGAGATGTGCTCTGATAAGGGTGAATGCATCTTGGAGGCTCCCGTCACTGTCAATGATGATACTGTATTTAGCAGCATCGAGCATGACCTCTTTATGTTCCATCTTTGTGATCAGATCCAAGGCCAAGGCAGTGTTCCCTGACTTACACATTCTGTTTAAAACCGGACCATAAGTAGTTTCGTTGGGTTGACATACATTATCCATCATTCGATCTATCAAAGCCATTGATTCAGAGAGTCTTTCTTGGAGACAAAGCCCATTGACAATAGTGTTTTAAGTATGATGAGATTTGGAACAACCTCCATTTCTACCATACGATCAACTAACTCCACAGCTTGGGAAGCTCGACCCTCGAGACATAATCCGTTAATCAAAGGAGAGAATGCGATTATGTAGGGCTCATACCCAAGTTTCAAAATCTTTCCAAAGACAGCAAAAGCAAAACCGAGTTTAGGACACCTGCAGAAGCGTGTAGAGGTCATGTGCGATCCCTTTCGATTCCATTTGCTTGTAGAGATGTAACACGAGATTGTACTGTTTCGTTTTAATAATATCACTAAGCAATTTACTGAAATCAACGAGTCTAGGGAGAGGGTGAGATAGAAACAATATTTTTTTTTGTTATTATTAGACACTATATAAAATGGGTAAAAAAACGTAAATTATAATCATACTAGATTTTGAGCGCAGAAAATTTTTATGATTAAAATTTATATAATTAGGTTTTATCTTTATTTAAAGTATGTTTTGGTATAAAATCAGTAATCCAAAATTTGTGATGGTGATTGTTTTACATTAGTTTTTAGTTTACGTTTATATTTTTAAATTTGGTTTTACATTTTGGTTCTTAGTTTTTAAGTTTCTCTTTTTGATTTTCAATTTTTGGTTTAGGTTTTTAGTTTTTAGATCAGCTGGATTAATTTGAACTGATATTACCAACAAACAATCCAAAATAATCGAACATCTAATTTAAAACTGAAAAGATGGAATTTTTTTTGTAAAAAAGAATTGCAATAGTTTATACTGTAAATAAATAAAAGCAAAAATATAACTTACGTTTTCAAATTTTGGTTTTGGATTTTAGTTTTTAGATATTGTTTTTGGTTTTGCTTTACATTTTTTTTTAAATCTGTAAATTATTTAAGAAAAATAAAATAAAAAACTATTTAAAAGTTACTATTGAAGTTTATCAAAACAAAGTAATTTTTATTTAAAATAAAAAAATACATTAACATGTTTTAAAGTACATGATTTAAATAAGTGATTAATAATAATAAGTATATACACAATTTAAAAAATGAAATAATACATTAAGCATTAAAAATCTATTTTAAAATGTTAAATATAGATATTAAATAAATATATATTATACCAAAAATAATAAAAATAAACAAATACAAAACGTAAAAAATTGGAAAATTACTTTAAGCATTAAACATCTATCTTAAAATGTTAAATATAGATATTAAGTAAAATAAAGTAAAAGGAATGGAAATACTTAGTATAAAAAAATAAATGATCACTAAATACACAATTTTAAAAATAAAATAGTATATTAAAAATTAAATATAATTAAATATGTAAATATAGATATTGAGTAAATATATTATATATAAACATAATGACAATAAGTAAATAAACAGTATAAAAAGTGGAAATGTACACTTAGCATTTAACATCTATCTTAAAATATAAAATATAGATATTAAGTAAAATAAAGTATAAGAACTCGAAATACACAGTATAAGAAAAATAAATAATAAGTAAATATGCAATTTAAAAATGTGAATATAACATTTAAAATATATATTTAAATATGTAAATATATAATATAAGAAAATAATAATAAATACAGAATTTTTTAAAAAATGGGAAAGGTACATTAAGCATTAAACATCTATTTTAAAGTGTAAAATATAGATATTAAGTAAATAAAGTCTAAAATGGAAATACACAGTATAAGGAAAAATAAATAACAAATAAACACATAATTTAAAAATGGAAATACTACATTAAAATTTTAGCATATATCTTAAAATGTAAAAAATAGATATTATGTAACATAAAGTATAAGAAACGGAAATACGCAATATAAGCAAAAATAAATAATAATTAAATAGAAAATATAAAAAGTGAATTTCTAAAATATATATTAAATATAAAGTATAAGGAACGAAATACTACATTAAAATTTTATATTAAAATGTTAAAAATAATAAATAAGTAATATACAATATAAAAATGGAAATACTATATTAAACAAAAAAATGTATAATTTTACATCAAACAATTCCCTGTAAAACTCATTATTTCATCCACATCAAACTCACACCCAATAAAGAAGACGCCAAAGAACTTCAGGAAAAAAAAACAATGGCTCTACCATCAACTTTTGTAGTCCGAAAAACGTTTGATGGCCTCAATGGAATTTTCTTTAACAATGAACTTTTGGTTAGGCTTATTCACTGATGGGAAACCCGCAACTTCCAAAACAGAAACCTACTTATATGAATTGATATTCTCCTCATAAACTCAAAGGTATTCCCCCCAAATTAAATTATTCTAATCCATAATTTTCTTGGGTTTCAAATGACTTTTTTGGCCCAACTGATTTTATATATTCAAAATTATATAATCCCAAAATTATATAAAAATATATTACATGTTCTGTATAATATATTTAATTAAATAACTTCAATTGACTAATAGTAATGTTATGCTTAAAATATATTTTTTTTAAAAGCTTTCAAATATAGTTTAAAGAATATAATCGGTGATGAATTTAATTTCTTTAATTAGATTATTATTTACAACTTTGTTTTTTAAAGTATAGTGAGTTATAAATATCAATGATGGAGTTGGTGAATATAAGCATGAAGGTGAAAATATAAATATTTAATTTTCAAGTAATAAATTCAGAGTTTTATTCAATTATCAATATATAATATATTACACTGTTTTTTAAATTATACATAATTTATATAACAATTAATCTTCCAAAATTAAACTATTATATTATATATATAATAATAATGTTAAATAAAAATATTTTAAGCAACTTTTTAAGAATAAAAACAATAAATGGTTATTTACATAAATGATTAAGATGTACATTATACTATCATTTGATATGTATTAGATACATTTTGATATATCATTATTTTCTATTTTTAGAAAAACAATAAATGGTTAAACATCGTTAAGCATACGAACAACACAAAAAATACTCACATAAACATTACAATACAATAATTTTAATTTCAATAACATACAATTCAAAATACAATGTTCCTCTTTAAATTTTTTTTTTGAACACTCAGAATACAATATTCAAAAGAATAGTTATATACTTAATATTTTTGAAAATGTGTTTCGCGCGTAGCGCGGATTAATTCCTAGTTATGGTGAAGATGACAAATCAGAAAATTACTTATAAAATAATAGTATAGATGTAAAAGCATAAATTTTAAACATTTTCTTTTTTTACAATAATAAATGTTTCCATTAATTATTACAAATTTTAATTTAGTGATAAAGATTTGTAAGCTTATATTGCTTGTCTTAGTTGGTCCAAATCTCTATCCCGTGAGAGCATCTTCTACCCTAGCACTTCGTTTGGGGTGCTTAATTTTTTTTTGTCTGATTAAAAAAAATATAAAAAAATCAATTACAGTGCAAATAATTAGCAACTAGCCATTTGGAGTGCTTAATTAAGCATTTTAAGAAGTGATGCTTAGGGGGGTTATAGGCAACACAATTCTTATCGAGTTTGAAAATTTTAAGATTCTATTGTTATTGGTTTATGGCCTTTTAGAAATCTAGTAAAATATCTTGTTATTGGTTTAAGAATTTCCAAAATCCATTCAAATCCATTGTTATTCAAAAAGTTTTGTTATTATTGATTCTTGATTTCTAACCAAATCTAGTGTTATTGGGAGAAAAATTCTTTATATTTTTACTCATATACAAAACTTTCAAAATATCATGTGTATCCATAAGATTTTCAAAATCCATGTGATAAAAATGTGAAAATAGAATAATTATTCTTACAAGATATCTATTGCACATTCAGTTAACATTACAATTCATTACATTTTATACACTTATTTTTTGAATGTATTAATTATATATATATATTTTTTATCCATAAATAAAAATTAAAATAATATATGAATTGCTAAACAAATATATAATATAGTTAAATTTGTTGATATAATATTCATATCATATTAACATAATTTTATATGTATCTTTATTGTATAATTTTTTTAACAAACAAACATATTTTCAGAAAACAAATAATCATGTTACTGAAAGAAAAATATTTCCGGAACACTTTAGAAGAATATAAATTATATATTTACTTTACAAAAGGAATGATAAAAATTATATATAAATTCATGATAATATGCTCAGATTTTATAAATCAACATATATGTATTGTCATACTCACATCATACACTATTAAAAGGGGCAAATAAAGCCCTCTCACCATGTCCACATCACCGAATATATTTGGGCAATAATAGGGCTTTAAACAGCCACGTCATGTTTGGTTGGGCATGCAAAACCCGATTTCGATTTCGGTTTAATCTACCGAAACCCGGTTTATTTTCGGTCAATGTTAAGTTACAAAATAAAAAGAAGATAAAGTAAATGCTTTTATATATACAGTCCAAAACGATCATCATCATTACTCCATGACCAAACAATATAATTACCAAAGTTTTCAGAACTTATAATTACTAACAAAGAAATCATGGAAAAAAAATAAATCGTAAATATGTTCATATATTTGTTTATAAAAAAAATAATATATATATATAATAGAACCTCAGTAAAATAATAATGTTAAGACTTAGATATTTTAATACTTAACATACATATTAATTTACTAAAAAAAACCAAACAGAAGGACTTTTGTACTTCATTGTACTTCAAATTTAAATGTAACGTACAACTAACTAATATTGTAATTTTAAATATTATCCTCAATTTACCTACTTTAATCTTAAAAATAAAAATTGAAAATTTAAGATTTTATCTGTGATCCTTTTAATGCCATCTTGTCTTTCATATTGCTTTCGGTTGAAATCAGGCTCTTCCGCAAGTGAACTATCATCATCTGAAATCTAAAGGCAAGAAAAATTAGTCCCTCGCGTTGTATACTTAACTAAGCAAGAAAGTTGCTAACTTACAAGGGCAGCCTGATTCTTTAGATCCTGGAGATTGAAATTCCAGGCGCTTATTCCCCTAATGTATTCTTGCTGCAGAGAAACAGAAAGTATGATTACAGATGTAAAAACATTTCAAACACACAATCAAATTCGACTACCAGAAGAAGTTTGCGTTTCGCATGCTAAGATTTAGCAGCTTAGAGAAAATTTGCAGAAAATTGTCAACAGATGGATGGAACTTTTGTTTCTTAATCCTTGCCTGTGATAACTGCACTTCGTATTCAGACTTGTTTTGCATTAGAAGATCAGCTTCCTTTGACTGAAAGA